GGCGGCGGGGGGGGGGGGCACCAGAAATGAGCCTTGGAAGCATCCATGGGTAACATTACAGGGCTTGATTATTTCTTTAGATGTAATAATGTACAGACACATTGAGGGTTGCAATGTGAACCTATGAATGAGAACTCATAGGTACTACATGTATTAAACTGTGAGCAGGTCTAACTTGTCTAACTCTAGTTTGATTTTTATTTTCTTGGGGGGGGGTTGGTGGTAACCTTTACCTATGGAAGTTACTGTACGCAGCTGAGATTACCTTCTGGTGGAGTCCCAACACTGCTGCCGAGACCTAACATGATAAGATTATACCGACGTGGTTCAAGCATTACAGCAGACTCATTGCCTCTGACCCAGTGGGGTACCTGATGGTTCAGGAAAGCAAATAATGTCTTCAAAATCCATGATTTTTGGTTTGCAGAGGCAACATGCAAAGAGCCCACATCTGAGCCGTGTGCGGTTACGAAAACAACCAATTAGCCTGACTACGTACATACCCAAGATAAGCAGGATTTGAGTAGTAGTAGTGGTGTAGTAAAAGTGGAGTTGTCATTCTATAAATTTGGGGTCCAATTTTTTGGTGTCCCTGTCATATCTGACAAATGAGTTTGTAAGTTTAGAACATATTTTTCATTTCCAAAGAGTGATTAACTGATGCAAATTATCTGCCAAACACATACATACACCTGTAGTTTCAATTCGATTTCAATTACATGTCCATGTCAAAGTACACAGGTCAGGTGTGACTGGGTCACAATCCTGTCACACGTTTGAACCTGAAAGTTATAGAATGGCCCAGATGACAGTTTGCTGAAGATGAACTAATCACACTGTATGAAATGTCAAGATCACCACAGGTTCTCTTCAGAACCTCACTTCTTTCAAGAAGAGAAACATCCTAGAAAGGTTACATATCTGCAAACTACCATCTGCCACGTCAGTAAGATTTTGATGACATGCACATACATGTAAGGAGAAGCACACCCTACAGTAAGCAAAAATGAAAGAAAATTAATAGGGTAAAATATATACAGACATACCACCACTTCTTCACCATGGACATTTTGCAGGCCATCTTTTTGGAGTTCATTCAACATAAAATCTAATTTGGAACACACAAATGAGACAACAGAGTCTGTATTTTAACATGTACCATGCACATTGTAATGTGAACAGGTATCTCCATTTGAAAGTGCAATTCATTTTCTATATTTTCAATCTCTGGAAAGGTTTCATTTTTTTACATCTTTAAAGCTTCAATTGTCTTGCCAATACAATGGTGACATTGCAGCAAGACTTACCACTGCAGGAAAGGACAATCACTCATACATGGAAAACCTTGCGGATATGATGGGATCAACGTAGGTATCAACGTATGAAGGTATCGGTAACAAACTCTTTCAGAATATGGCATATGCACTCCACTTATTCATCCTTTTGATACTTTCTGTAATTCCATTTTAACTGGACTTCTCAACATGCAGAATGTAGAAGGAATTCTGGAAATTGTAAAAAGGGTCAAGTTCACCAGCTACACCTGATACTGTAAATAGTGTGCAAAAATTAAGGGCCAAAGTGCATAAAGTTGTGCATGTGCAGGTAGTTCTGTACGTGGCACTCCACACACACTTGATTTGCGGTGATAAAAAAATCTAATCACTCAAACTTTGTCTATTTAAGGGAAGTTTCAATAACAAACTCTAAAATTTGTGCAACAATTTAAAAATAAAACACACCTTCAGAATGACTTTGGGAAGACTAATTTTGGGGAAGGGGGGAGCAAATTTTTATATGTTTTGCATATTACTGTTGTAAAGGATATTATAAGACTTTATTCTTAGTCTCAAATGTGGGTCGTGGCATGCGCCATTTCATAAGGAAACAAACTGGACATAAATTTTACCCAAATGAGTGCCTCACAAGTTTGCAAACCATCTGTTCAGATACCTTCTTACCTATGGAGTTTTCAAGATTTTTGGTGCCGACAAGACGATTTCCAAACGTGTCTGTAAAAAGAGCAAGTCTGTTGTACACTTGTCCTTTTGCACTGCCATTCACAATGTAGGCCATGATTTCGTTGGCAACATCTAACAAAAAGAAGCAAGTCAAAGTGATACTGATGATGTCATTAAAAAGTCTGCAGGTGGAATAAGGAGGATATTGCTTTAATGACAATGTCTCTCTATACAAATTTATCAAATTCAATAGGTCAGATTTCATGGAAAATGTCTAATAACTTGTGTCTGAATGAGCTCACGCTTAATTGAAAGACTACATTAACCAAACCCTTCAAAATCAGGCTTTATGTGTACATTATGTAAATATGAAATCTCTTCTATTCTATTACCTGAAAACTAACAAGTGACACCAGTGGCAGATAGAAAGTGGCATTTACCAAAGGGGAGACACCCTTCATTTATATAGGACAAGGTGCAAGAGTGTCAACAGGATTTTTTTCCGGGGAGGAAAGGGTTGGCAAACCATTTTCTTGCAGGGAGACAGAGCACATGTCAGTTAATAACTCAAACAATTCACAGAAGGAGAGGGTCAAGTCTGAGTTGTTTTCAAGCAAATTGGTGATTTTCGTCCCCTTTGACAGTCTTCTTTTAATTTCTTTTGCTTTCCCCTTTTCTATTTTTGATTTTTGTTCTCCGGGGAAGGTGAGCGAGGAGCAAGCACCCCCTCTCCCCCTTTTTAACACCTATGGTGAGGTGCCCAAAATGAAACTTGAACATGAGTGAGACATTATTTTTACACTGGGCACTAATTTCTCCCTTTAAAATTAAGAAATATCCGAATGAGAGACACATCAAAACAGAGAATATAAAGCCCTGTATTAAATCCTGAGGGGTCCAGTGGGATCTGCTACAGGTCACAAGGGGGCTTGATTATTCCTTTCAACTCCATGTCCATATACCTTTATAGCTGGCAATCTCCTGTTTGATTTTCTGCAGGTCATAGTCTGGGCGTCTCAACAATGGTTTGCTTCGGGAGACTGACGGAAGGCTGATGAGTAAAACTATAAAGATACAATTATGAAGGGGATACATCTGTTAGGTACGGTACTTGTACTGCACAGCTGCCAACTGTAGATTATCTCATGCAGATTACACTATTGTGGGCACTAGTTGCAATTAGATTTGGATGTGGGTGAAGTTTGGGTTGATGCTCCAAGTATCTTTGTGTACATGTACATATGGTCAGTTCGGGGGCTTATCTGATATTATCAGGGAAAATGCAGGCAGTGAAAATACACAAGGTTGGTTTTTGTTTTTCTAGTAATCTTCTGTGCATGCATGTAGCTACCAAAAGACCATGCAGTTTGGCTGAGTCAATTAAGGTTACTCTGCACAGGGAATTCGGATGACATGTTGGAGGAAGTGGTGATTGATGATTGGATGATGAACTACAATGAGTCCATGTATGTGCAGAAGACGAAGCACGGCACAATAGCCTTTTTGAAGTATAGTGGACACAATAGGAAGGGCTTTTTGAAGTGGGTAAAATTGGAGTAAATACATAACAGATTTTACCAAAACAAACTAATGCCCTCCTAATGTGTCCACCATACAATGGCATGGCTCACACAGGCTAGTGGCAACTACAGATGGAAAACAAGGGCCTTTCTGACCTCAAAATAATACATCCTAGATGCAAAAGTGCTTCAAAGAAGTCATATACATGTAGGTCAAGAATAGAAAACCTTGCAAAAATAATCACTACACATGAACTTAAAATACATGCATATAGGTCATTCTACCAAGTTGAGGAACATTTGGTGACATTTGGACATTGTTCAGATGAGGTATAACGGGCCACTCAGAGACTAAGCGTAATTCTGTTGCTCTTCTTCTGATTCTGAAATGCTTCAGAGCACTATGAAATTGTTCAGTCTGATATTTTAAAGAAAAACCATTGTACCATCTTTATTAA